ACACAATGATAGGGTTTGCAGGGGTTGTAGTTGTGTTGCATAACGTTGTCTATGAATTGACGCACAGATGAGGTCATGAAATAGATGTTGTAATGAATTGCAATACATTTACACTATTTATTCACGAAATGGTAAACATTATTACAGTAAACAGTGTTAACAGTATTCATATAATTAGTATTTGATATTAATTGTAATTATTATTAATACAAATACATAGCAATTGCCCTACAATTGAGCGATCAGTCGATGAAGCTATGAATTGTCTAATGAATTGAATGATATTTTTAAATATTTTCGTATTTTATTAACATTTATATTGAGAGCACTTTTAATGTTATTTCAAATTTGATTACATTTTAATCAAACATTTGATGATCTGATGGCAAACGATAGGATATATGGATGGACCCAAAGCACCGACTCTTCAACCATTGAGGTTACCATTCATTACCACTTATGATCATTGCTTACCATTTAATACATTTAAATCACCATTAATTGCAAAATACATGTAAATTGGACACTCATTTTGATTGCATTTATTTTGACAAATATTTATAGTATTTGTAGTTTTTATTGCAATTAAGTGAGTCATTAGTATTTTAATTGTATTTAATATACACCATATTACACATGAGTTTTAATTTGTAAATGAATATATTGTTGCATAAAAATTATTTTATTTAACAGTAATAGATAGCAAATTACTTACAAAACAAATGAAAGCTTTAAATATTGATTTTTTCTACATTTGTACGATTCATATATGAATGCATTAATTGTTTTATGTTTTACCTCCAAATGATTTGCAATCAAATCTTGTTTAACATGTAATTGCATTTTACTGTTATAGTGCTTTGAAAGTTTTTATGAACTCGTAAAACAATGTGAATAAAACATTAGCATGCTCAATATTAATGACAATTTAGAGCAAAAGAGTTTAGTTTAAATTAGTGTCAAAACAAATTGATTGAATTTAAAACAAAAGCGGATTATTTGATAGGAATTGGTGTTCAATACAGAAACAGATTAGATATTAATTGTTTTGAATGGCTTTGTATTCAGTTATCAGACACTGTATGACTGAATGTGTAATAAACGTGATACTAGTCTCATATGGTATGCCTATTACTCCACTAATGACAAGCAATAAAAGTGTTGAATACCTATTACAGGACGCGTCAGACATACGACTTCTTCGGCTTAAAGTGTTTGCCGGACATAACTTGGCGAAGAAGGATATCTTTGGCGCAAGTGATCCATACGTTCGCATCGACTTAATACGAAATGCTGACGACTCGGTCATCGACTCTGTTTACACGAAGACTAAGAAAAAAGTGATTATTTTTATCATTTTTACTAATAATACTCTGTTTCTAATACGACTTGAAATGCCTGTCCGTTCAGACATTGAATCCAAAATGGGAGGAAGAGTTCATATTCAGAGCCAATCCTAATAACCATAGATTACTGTTAGAAGTGTTTGATGAGAATCGGTTGACTCGCGATGACTTCCTCGGAATGGTTGAACTCCCACTCCATAACATTCCCACAGAAAGAGCCGGTCGTACCATATCTCAGAAGTATTACATTTTGCGTCCGCGAAGGTATAGCTACTGTAAACCTATATTATAGGGTATTAATGTGTTGTGGTGTATGTGCAGTGCCCGGTCCAAAGTGAAGGGTCATCTGCAGCTCTATCACGCGTACATCACTTCCACTGAAGAAGACGAGACGCAATCCATTCAAGAGAATGAGGTATAGATTGACGACTCTATTGTATGACATATAATCCAATGTACGATCTATACTGACAGCCCGGTTGGGAAGTGGTTGACGTTGAGAACGGCTCTGAAGAGCAAGCGGCCCAACCCATTGTTATGCAATCGAGTAGTTCTGAGTCGATATCGACTATATTGCCGTCGGGTTGGGAGGAACGACAGGATGCCAACGGACGGACATATTTCGTGAACCATATCGCACGGACCACCCAATGGCACCGACCGACTGATACAACCAGTATTAATGAAGACCAAACGCAACAAAGAAGTTTAGAATCGGCTCAAGAGTTCAGACGTCGTGTCCACATAAGTGTCGAACAAAATGGCGAACAGAACTCAACAAATGAAGAGTCCATTAGTGAAGTAAGAGTTGATCCATAGATTTAAAACAATTATAGTACTGTTTATCGTATAAGTTATATTGATTATATTGATTGACTAAAACCTGCATTTGATATTCAAATGACACATAAATGACAATTTTGAATGAAATCCTAAATGAAAGCAATATTCAAATGATCACTACTTGTGCCCCAAGTTATTAGAATCTCAACGACGACTCACACTCACATCACACACAATAAATCCCTCACTTGTGAACACATCTCGTCGACACTCAGAGGTTCTCATCCCTTGCGTTGCGGTCAATGATTAAGGCTTTCGGCGATTTCCCCTTTTATTGCTTTACTTTTTGTTTTTATACAATTTTACTAATGCTTTTCACTCAATATTAACACACATTTGCCACTAATAATCTAAATTTACTCAAAATTCATTCCCTGCATTAATTTAAACGCCGAATACCTTTTTCATCGATTATTTGCATTTGTGTGCTTAGAATTCACTGCAATGCTATTTATTTTGTTTGCATTTTGGTAGAGATTTGTGTCAAATAAACGCTTGAATGTTGTGTTAAATAGTTTAAAAATGCTTCAAATTTGATGCAAATTAGACTTTTAGTCTTAATCTTTTATTAACTTTAATTGTAAATAAATTAATGACATTACTTATCGGACAATCAGGACGGCCGGGAAGTTTGAGTTTATTGAGCTGGCGACCGGTGTCTAATAGATGTTAAGGTGTTAGTTTCGATGGTTTACCGAACGGCTGGTCATTACAAGTGGCACCGAATGGACGCATATTCTTCATTGACCACAACTCTAAGACGACCACTTGGATCGACCCGAGGAATGGAAAGGCAAGTCCTGCGCCCAACCAGACCAATGTGGCCAATAGGCCGAAGTGCAGTACAGTCGACGACTTGGGACCCCTTCCTGACGGCTGGGAGGAAAGGATGCACACCGACGGACGCATATTCTTCATCGACCACAGTATGTATTCAATCGATTGGATGTTTGTTTAGGTATTTGACTGTTTGTTGAACTCATTGTAATGACAACCAGACAACCGGGTCACACAGTGGGATGACCCTAGAATTAACAATCCAAACATTGCGGGGCCGGCCGTTCCATATTCCCGAGACTACAAACGCAAATACGAGTACTTGCAGCTCCGTTTGCCCCGACCATCTAACGTGCCAAATAAGTTTGAAATAAAAGGTTGGTTACAGTAGTTGTAATTGTAATAATCAAAGCAAATGTTTTTCGTACGCCTGATCTAACCCTTTCCCTTAACATCAATACTAAGGCCAACACTACGGCCAACCCTAAGATCAAACTGCATACCAAAACTAATGCCAAAACTAGTATTACTGTTACAGTAGTACCGATGAACCGATAAATCTAATTTAAATTGTACCAAAAGTTAACAGAAACAACATATTTGAGGACTCGTATCGATCCATTTCCAGCATAAGTCGCGTCGATTTACTCAAAACCAAACTATGGCTTGAGTTTGATCAGGAAGAGGTGCTGGACTATGGCGGCGCCTCCAGGGAATGGTTTTATTTGCTCTCCAAAGAGATGTTTAATCCATATTACGGTTTGTTTGAGTACTCGGCTGCGGATAACTATACGCTTCAAATAAACCCATTCTCTGGGATGTGTAATGAGGAGCACTTGTCTTACTTTAAGTTCATCGGACGTGTGGCAGGAATGGCTATATTTCACGGTTTGAATGCTTTATTTCATTTATTGCGTGCGATGTGTCTAATTTTATATATGCAAATACTTAGGCAAACTGTTGGAAGCCTTCTTCATCCGACCCTTTTATAAGATGATGTTAGGAAAGCCCATCCAATTGAAGGACATGGAGAGCGTGGACACCGAGTATTTCAATTCTCTCAAATGGATCCTAGAGAACGATCCTTTGGAGCTCGACCTCAGGTTCTCCATCGATGAGGACCTCTTCGGACAAATAGAACAGCGAGAGCTCAAGCCTAAGGGCTCACACATTGCCGTCACTCAAGACAATAAACTTGAATATATTGAGTGAGTGATGATTGTCTGCCATTCATGTCTCAAATAAATATTTGATCCATAGTTTGGTGATTCAATGGCGATTCGTTTCTCGAATTTTACCACAAATGGAGGCATTTCTCGAGGGATTCAATGAATTGATTCCATTAAGTCTTATTAAAGTGTTCGACGAACACGAGTTGGAACTACTCATGTGTGGCATCGGAAACGTTGACGTGAAGGACTGGAAGCAAAACACTGTCTACAAAGGCAGTTATCACCCCAACCACATCGTTGTCCAATGGTTTTGGAGGGTTTGTTCGCTTGACATGTGATTGATATGGTGTACGGTATAAGTGATGTAATGTGTGATTAGGTGGTGCTGTCGTTCAACAATGAGATGCGTTCCCGTCTGTTGCAGTTCGTGACGGGCACCTCACGGGTGCCTATGAATGGCTTCAAAGAACTGTATGGAAGTAATGGCCCCCAACTGTTCACTATAGAGAAGTGGGGAACCCCTCACAATCTGCCCCGTTCTCACACATGGTATTTAATGCTCGCACTGACCATCAGTTGATAATTAATTGAATTGATTTGTGGATTAGTTTTAATCGATTGGATTTACCCGCTTATGAAAGCTATCAGGAATTGAGGGAAAAGTTGATTCAAGCGATTGAAGGCTCGGAATCATTTGGAGGAGTCGATTGAGACATTGGATCTATTGATGATTTATGCACTCATTTCTAAATTATTATATCTTTTAATATATATATTGTTTTTAAGAGAAGATAACTGAACGGAAGACTCTGTGATTTTATAAAGAATTGATTAATTCGAGTATTTTAATCGTGATATCACTTAATTGTTGGCTTAAATCGCTTATAAAAAAATTTAAAGTTATTGTATAAAAGTTTTCAATTAGTTTTCAATTGAATTTTGTATTATTGTATAAATATAAAGGAAATATAAGGCAATTATAATGTAATTCAAGCTATTATTCAATTATGACTTATATAATGATTATTAACAGATTTAATATATACGTTGATTTTATTCAATAAATTGCTTTAAACGTCTCATAATTGGCTTTAAGTGAATTATTGTACTTAAATCAGTGCGATAATGAATTGCATAAAAATATTGGGATAAAGTTGACAAAATGAACTGTATTGCATTGCATTGCATTGCGTACAGTATTATGCAATGCATGACACTTTTACAACTACTGTATGACATTTGAACAGTAGATAGACTATAATACTCACTGTTGTACCTCTGTTTACATTCATAGGCTATGATTCATAGGTCAATACAAACACATGTCATGCAATGCATTCAAATAGTGTGTAGTGTTTGCGAGTGAATGGATGAGTGAATGGATGTGTAAATTGCAGTGAAATGGCAGTGAATTGGTGTGGATTAAGACACAAATGCATTGAATTGATGGTCACCCTCGACCACATGTGCATCCAATCCAAGAGATGCACTCATTTCAAGTTCAGACCCGTTCAGCACAAGCAACAGATGTCTGTTATCCACAAATTGGTGGCCAATAACACAGACAATGTTTTGGCAAAACTCATGCAAAACAAACCAAACATCATATCCAAGGGGTCGCCTAATAGGAGGGACAGTGACCGGAGTGACCACCAGAGCAGTGATAAAGTGATGACCAGAAGAATGACTGTATTGAACAAACAGCTTCTTCAGGCCATTTCAGACGTGCTCTCAACCGAACAAATCGGCGATGAGTTGAATGAACTCCAGGTCCACATCACTCAGGTATGTCTGCCATGACTGATGAGGTCGCGTATGGTTTAGTGATTGAGAGACAATTGGTTCGCACCGTTAGGTCAGAGTTAATAAGCGCTGCGATTCTGCGAATGTCTATTGGATCTCAAAATGTGATGAAACCGAAAGAGTGGTCCAAATGTTGGACCAAATGAAGGGACGATTACGTCAACACGTGATGGACAGGCATTTGATGCATTCCGTGCCGTGGATTCAGTTTGTATTAGACGTCTCACAAAATCATTGCCAAGAAGTGGACAGAATTCTGAAGAAATGCGATTTCGGGCCCGACTTCGAGCCCTTCGACGCGACTATGTTTGAGACGCCGTACCAAAGGGTCAGTCGATTGGAGGGGAAGACGATCGTTGAGACGCCACCGAAGGCTCACAATATAGACGAAGTCTATGACTGTCTGACACTTAAGAAGCCAAATGATATGCAAATGAATTGTTTGGGTCTTAACTATGAGATGATTATGAATATTGTTTTATCAAATCTTAACAAATCTCGAGCACAACACAGAAGTTTCAATGCAGTGGCGGATCCATTGCCACCACCCGACTGGTCAGTTGAGCCACCAGTGCCTCAGCCCAATGAATCGGATGCCATCTATAACACCGATGAGAGGATTAGAGTCATGAAAAAGTTTTTAGTGGAGAACCGGAAGAAGAGGGAGCGGTTGTCCCGGTCTCTCAAACGCTCAATCATTTTGGATGAAATGCAAGTCAGTTGTCATTTGAGTGATGCTTTCGATAGATATGAACAAAACGCAGAGCATTTCGATGAAGAGTTCACTCAAGACTTGGATTCCACTTTAGATCTGGAAGACGCGTCCAATGAGTCAAATGATACACAAAATGAAAATATTTAGAAATTGTAATCAATATCTTTAATTCAATGAATAGATTGTAAAATAAATACAGTACAGTACAGTACATTGGTACTGTATATATAATTAAATGAATTTTTAATTTAATTAATTTCGGGAAACAGTTTGTAATCGATTGACGTTAAAGTGGAGTCAATAATAACGGGTAGTTTAGTGTTGAACGTTAAGTCATCGACACTCAAGTGCTGTGAATTGGCGTATAATAGGCTCGTCTGAAAGTTTTCGACTTTGAAGTTACAAATGGTCTCAATGTCAGACAACTTTTTATTCAAAGTGTTTATTTCAAAACTCAGTTTTATTTGTCCAGATTTGGGAAACTTAGTTCCAATGACCCAAAAGAGACCATTCGTTTCACACCTTAATTGACCGAAAGTTAGGTTAGAGTTGATTGGATTCAGACTACTATTTGTTGACATATGCTTGAAGTTGACGTTGAAATAAGTGAACTTAAATTGAGTGCAATTTCTCAAATTGAGTGTCAACTGAATTCTGCATATATTGCTGTCATTTCTGATGTCAACCATTTGATAGGCATATGAGAGGAATGTCTTCGCGGCATCCGAACAGCACTTATAATGGATTGCATGCAACGGGTTCTGAAGCAATGGTCGTATTTGAATGTTTGACTCATTTTGAGTACAATTTGGTGGCAAAACCAGATTTAGTGATTCAATATTTCTTAGCTTAAGAGTTAATAAACTATTTGGTGTCAGAAGTGATCCACAATATGATTGGTCTGTACTTATGGTTCCGAATACCAGCTCTTTATCTCTGTTTCTAGAAATCAATTCATTGACACCTATTTTCAAGCAATCGTTTTGTGGTTTAGACTCTGTTTTCGTCATTTTCTTGGCATTCAGTTTATTCAGTGTTTCATAGTTTTGGTTAATAAGAGTACCAAAGGGTGACATCGTTGTCATCAACCATTCAATCCACGAGAGGTCCTAAAAGTGGACAAACAATTAGTTAGCAAAACAGTGAGGAAGTGATGTCTCATTACTTTATCGGAAGTGAAATAACGAGAGATTGTCTGCAAAGAAGTGAAACACAAAGAAATGCACTTTTCATCGATTAAGTCAATTGTGGTCTCTTTGTGACCATTCATTGCACACAACGGATAGCCGCAGAAGAGGATCCCCTTGTGCTCCACTACAAGGATTGGCCACAAATGGCTGCTCTTGTAGTCCATTGCGATCACCGGTAATTGATTTGATTGGAAGCACTGGGACTCCGAGTCATCACTACTGCCACTATTGATGCCCAAAGAGGTCAACACCGAATCAATTAACTGATTATCACTCGTGATGTCAATGTCCTGTAAACCCATTCTTTGGGCCCTTTTGTGGACGTTTGCAAACCGACGGAAATATAAAACTGACCGCAAGTTCAGTGAAATAATCCAAAAGTATCGCAAAGACATCGCAAACTGATCTCAACTGAAGGGGACGGGAGGTGTGGATGAAGTGGAGGGGCCCTCACAGTAGGCGTCAATCATTGACAGATATGTCACGTGTTTTGCACTCTATTTGTAAACATTGTCTGCATTTCGTCATTGAGTCCATTGAGTGACACGTTATTTGTGGCAATCATTCAGACCATTGATTCAAATGTGAAAATGTCTTTTACCTCAAGAAAGCGTGTCTTCGACGGCGATCACCAATTCATACCATTATCTTCTTCGGGAAACCAATCCCTTCAAAGTCATACCAATTCTCCGAAGAAGAGGAATAATTATGAAATGTATGTCATTTATGGCGATAGGAATCTATATTCAAGGGTCAGAGAGGTATGGATCAAGTGTTTGGTGGCAGACCTACTATTTATAAGACATGTATTCATTTAACGATGACTTCTTTGAACAGTTGCTGAGTTCGAGCGACATCTGCGACAACCAATCGATTGTCAATTATCTGCAAAAGACTTTTCCGGAATACAAACGCAAGAAGAAGTCAGCGCTTATGAGATCTGTTAACAAAGCGCTGGAAATGATTAACAAAGACTTGAGTTCCAGTGAAGACCATGAAAGTGATGCCAAAAGCGAAGACTCACTCGACGTCATCATTAGTCCCAAACCAAGCGATGACATAAACTCATTGAATAAATCGCTTAAAGACTTGTATTCAAACAGATCTCAAGACAACAATTCGGCCAAAAGTAGTGATAATTCAAAGAATATGAACGAAAGGAAAGCGACGACTCGGAGGACAGAGACAGATGTGAACAGTAAAGCCGATCGTAGTATCGATTCTGTGCTCTCGAAACAAATACAACTAAAAGAGCGCTATTTGTTTGAACCCAAACTCACTTTCGATGACTTCGGAGGCATCGATGAAGTTGTGGTCGACATCAAGAAATTGATGTTTCATTTAAGACATCCCACTCTCTACACAACCATAGGTGTCGACCCTCCGCGCGGTTTCCTATTACACGGTCCGCCAGGAGTTGGCAAGAGTGCGATCGTAGAGGCCATTGCCAACGACTTAAACATACCATTCCTCCGGTGCGGTGCCACCGAAATAGTGGCCGGAATTTCCGGTGAAAGTGAGGGAAAGATTCGCGAACTCTTCAGTTTAGCGAAGAGTATGAAACCCTGTATTCTATTCATCGATGAAATCGATTCCATAACTCATAAGAGAGAGAATGCTTCCAAAGAAATGGAACGAAGAATTGTCACACAATTACTGACTTCTTTGGACAGTTTAGGAACCAATGATTCGGAGGGAGTGATGGTTATCGGAGCCACCAATAGAGCCGATGCTATCGATCCAGCGCTCAGACGCGCCGGACGTTTCGATAGAGAAATAAGTTTAGGAATTCCCGACAAAAGTGCCAGAAATGACATCTTAAGGGTTCTCTGCAGGAAAGTCAAGATGACTGAAGACTTTGATTTTGAATCTCTGGCCCACAAAACGCCCGGTTATGTCGGCGCTGATCTCAAAAGTTTGATCCGCGAGTCGGCCGTCAATGCTTTGGAAAGAATTTTATTACTTAAAGAAATAGATATAAACTCTTCGTTCGACAGCAAGAGTTTGAATATAGAAGACATCACTTCCTTATTGACGATTGAGATGAAGGACTTTGAAAATGCGTTGAAACGGATGCAGCCCTCGTCTAAGAGAGAGGGCTTCGCCACTGTGCCGGACGTGACGTGGGATGATGTCGGAGCCCTGGGCTCAATACGAAAGGACTTACAGCTGTCTATATTAGCGCCCATTAAATACGAACAGGACGTCAAGGCGTTAGGTCTGACCACATCTGTAGGCATCCTTCTATGCGGACCACCCGGTTGTGGGAAAACCCTTTTGGCCAAAGCCATCGCCAACGAGTCGGGCATTAACTTCATTTCAGTGAAAGGACCGGAACTGTTGAATATGTATGTCGGAGAGTCTGAACGCGCCGTTAGGTCTGTCTTTATTAGAGCCCGTAATTCCAAACCGTGTGTCATATTCTTTGATGAAATCGACGCTCTCTGTCCTAAACGAAGTGATTCCGAAGTATTGCTCAAATTTATAGCATTAATAAATGATTTATTAATTATGATATGATGTTTGGTTTAGTCATCAAACGCATCGTCACGTGTCGTGAATCAGTTGTTGACAGAAATGGATGGCTTGGAGTCGAGAAATTGTTTCCTATTGGCCGCCACTAATAGGCCCGACATTATAGATCCGGCGGTATTAAGGCCCGGAAGGTTTGATAAAATACTTTTCGTGGGATTCCCTTCAAAAGCAGATCGCTTTGAAATATTGAAGACATTAAGTAAAGTAAGTGTCACTTAAATAATTGATTAGTTTTGCCTTATTTTATACGAATCGGTATTATTGACAGAACGGAACAAAACCGCCTTTAAGTGCAGACATAGACTTGGAATCGATTGCAAACGACTCAAGACTTGATGGCATGACGGGTGCGGACTTGCATTCGCTGCTGAGAGAGGCCAGTCTCAGTGCACTGTCCGACAGAATATCAGCACAAATACCATGTGATGAACCCGTTGTTGTCAATTCATCTCACATGGAATGTGCCTTAAGTAAAGTCAAGCCCTCTGTTACGCATAGCGAGAGAAAAATCTACGAAAAAATGTTTAGTATCTATGGATTCAATCAATGAAATCATGAAAACATTTTTATTTAAATGAGTTTTATGTTAAAATCAAATATTCTTGTAAGAAAATAAAATTCATAAAATCTTTGCAAATAATAAAATACAATTCATAGAAATAGTATTACTGTTTGAGTGGCGAGTGTCACCAAAATATCCAATTATACCCTCATTTCATTTTAAACTGAATTAAACGTAAAATTAATATTAAAAGTATTTTAAAGCAAATCACTTGATGTGATGAATGGACGGCAAGAGGTCTTCGTCCGACATATCGTTTTCGAAATCGTCTGATTCTCTGATCACTGGAACTCTTTTCTTACTCTTGAGAACCGGAGAACTGAAATCATCATCGGATGAGTCAATCGTTTGGACTCTTTTGAATTTATTCTTGGCCTTCAAATCCTTATTGTTTGTGTCTTTTAATGGCATTAAAGGCTTTCGATGGTAAGTGTTGACCACTTTGTCAATGCACTCGACCTCTGATTCCGAATCAGATGAGACATACTCTCTGCGAACCTTTGGTTTTGCTTTAACTTCTTTGTCTCTCTTAATGGTCTGTTTGTGTTCATCGTCAGCATTGATATTATAATTGGAGGCATTGATTACGAGATCAAATCTATCGCCAATCGAGTTTCGCGAAGAACTGTATGTTATCTTAGATTTATTAACCGTTAAGTTCTGACTCGGAATCGCATTTCTGTTCACTTGGGCCTCACTTTCGGCACATTTGTCTGTTTTGCCATTAATTGACTTCTTAGTCGTTTCCATACTATTTTTGCTCAACTCTTCCACCTCTTCGCGCATTGTCTCACATGAGGGCCAGTCGTCGATAACTTCAGTCTTGTCATCACTGCCTTCAACAGTGCTTTCAAGTGGCGAACCATTGGACTTGTGGTCAACAGTGGTTCCAATGGAGTCATTAATCTGAAGATATGACTTACTTTTGTCGGTCGAGACATCGAAGATAACGACGTCGTCTGCGTTTGTGATGATCTTCTTCCCGATGTCGCCTTCGAAGCGTTCGACCACTTCTTTGAACGCTTGGATCAGATGCGAGACATCTGTTTGTGGTCTGAGCGCACGTTTTGTGATCTTCTCTTGACAGAGAGGACACCGACAGAACTCATAAGTGGAGCTCTCTATCGACTTACGGATACAATCGCTGCAGAATCGATGCACACATCGGGTTATCATTGGATCCGTCATAAGCTGAAGACTGGATGCAAAACATAGACAATGAGAACGAGACCATTCATAAGAGATGACAAGGGATTAACTGACCAAATGGGACACTCCATCAGTTTCTTGAGTTTCAACAACTCTTTGCGGATATTATCGTCAGTTTGAGACAACATTTGTGGCGACCGTCTGTCCATTATATCCACAAATGTCTGCAATTGTCACTCAAATGGATTCAATTGAACGCAAACACAAACCAAACGTGAAAATCGCGCCAAACTTTTGCCGCATTTGTTGGTCACTCATAAATAACGTTACGATTGAGTGATGTTTTGAAACGTGTTATCGATTGGGGTTTGACTTGAATTCAGTGATCATTTGATGGCAAACATCGGCGGAAAGAAGATATTTATTCCCAAACCTCCAGACAAGGGGTCCTTCCCTTTAGACCACGAGTCTGAGTGCAAGGCTGTTATGATTGAGTACCTCAAGTGTCTCAATGATCACAATTGCGACAACTCTTCGTGTCGTCCATTGGCTAAAGACTATCTCAAGTGTCGGATGGATAAGGAATTGATGGCTAAGGAGGACTTCAAAGTGTTGGGATTCAAAGACAATTCGGACATGAATTCCAGTGACAATCAAAAGAAGCACTAAATTCCTATGCAATGAGTTCTTCAGACGCCGACAAGACATCACCAAAAAGTTTAAATTGCGAACAATTATCTCATTTATCACACAATCAATTGTTTCACTTAATTGACTCCAATGTGAAGACATTGATCCAAAGCGATCCACTATTGAGTCATTTGCCGACAGACATAACCAGTGCTGAGTTGGAGGACATGATTGACCACCAATTGGGGCGATCGATGTCCGTATGTGTGGAACGGGAGGACAACTCATCCATTGGTGTGATTGTTGGCAACCATTCAAATGTGAGACAATTGAAGAAATGTATTGAAAGATACTTTTCATATCATCGCCGAAGACACCAAACCAAACCCAATCGTCGCATAAACTGGCGGTTCGTTTGGAAGTCCTATTGTCTGGTCTTCAATGACTGCATACTTAGCGACGATTTGATTGAATGCAAAGTTTTGGGAATTTCTAACAAAAGTCAAATTCGTTTCATTAGGAAATCATTCAAATAAGTGATAGATTTAGTCATTTAAATAAAGCATTGGTTTCAATGCTATTGTGCCCTTAGTTTTGATAATAATATTTTTGAATAAATGTTTTAACTTTAATAACTATTTAGATTAGCGTTGAATTTATTATAATTTTCTAAATTCATTTTATATGCACAACTCGAGTTCCTTTTGAATTTGATTTACGAGTCAAATCAAATGTCATTAAATATTTTCTGTACTCTATTTAAAGTCTCTTTATAAGTCCTTTGCGATCAATAATTACTTAAAAATTTTTGTTGAAAAGTATTTTTGGAAATTTCATTTAAATAACACATTACATAAATGCATATTTTATAGTCAACTATAAAAATGCATACTTTTCTAAAGCTTTACATTCATATTGTATTTGAAATATACTGTACATGAATTGCAAACAACTCCATATTAAAACTTTATAATATAAAGTATAATATATTTTATTGTACAGTATAACAACAAATATACTATGGTGAAAGTTAGTTCACTGAAAAATGTTTAAAGCCTTTCATAGTATTTCACGAATATTTAAGAGACATATAAATAATATTGTAATTGTATTGTCAAATAACCAATTTGAAAATTTAATATTTATGTAAATTTTTATCCGAATTAGATGACAATTTCTAAATGTTACTTGTATACAAAATAATACATTTTAGAAATAAATATTTTCAGTGAATTTGTAATTTGTACAATTTTCGCATATAGCAAGACATCAATAAAATTGAGTTAAATTTTTGTTAGATAAAATTCTTGATGTTTATTCATGAAAGTTGTATTGGTGCATTTACTTGTTTGTCACATTTGATTCACATAAGAATATTCTGGGATAATGGATAGATTGTGTTCATCATAACAATGCGACTATAGTTTAACGATAAATACAGACATTAAAGTATTAATAGACCTTACTGAATCAGCATATTTTAACTAAATTACATAAGAGTCAAAATTAAAATATCACTGATTCGTTTGAAATTTTCATCAAAAATAAATATAAATTTATATAAATATAAGAAAAGTTTTATTAAATTTGTTGATTACGTTGCAAAGTCTTTACAGCATAAAACTTATAATGTATTCATTTGAGGTTAGGATATTCATTTCATATATTCATATATTTTTTATAAGGAGTTTATAACCCAAATATCAATATTCATAATATACCAGATAATGGAAACAAACTTTAAAAATAAGTGCAAACAATTGAATTAGCCTAAATATAAAGAATATAATGGTTAAATGAATATTTTAAATGCTAGATAATGTTGTGCAGTATAGCGTTCAGTAAGACAATGAAACCTGAAGTGTGAGGTTCTGTATAATATAGTGTTGCATTCAAACTACAAATTATGAAAATGTCTAAAGTTTTATGAATTGAAAAGACGATGCAAATGTTTTATCTAAATTGGTTTTTTAATATTTGGACAAAACTTGACTGTATTTATGCTATATTTCAGTTGATTCTATTGATCCACATTTTATCGACAAAAAATATATTCTAAATTCTCTGAAGGCATGAATGCTTTTATAGGCAATCCTTGAAGATCACTATATAATATTAAAACTATTTTTTAGTCTCTGTTTATTTGTTTAAACCAAAAGTTTTAACTTTATTTCATTAATCAATATTTTGGTTATATTTAGCGCAAAGAAATTGGAGGAAAGGAAAGAGTGGTTACCGTATATTCAGCTGAATCTCAAATAAGTTGATAATTGATAGCGAATTGAAAGCGAATTTAGTTTTGTTTGCCAACAGTTCGCTTAACTCATCAATATTTTATTTGTCTCAAAACAATTTTACAGATCTTTAATAAACGTGAGAATACAACTCTGTTATAATTAAGGCTGCATACATACAAACTTAGGCTGTCTTTTTGGACATCATATTAAGATTAAGTGTTTTCTTCTTTTATTGACTGCAAATATTGTTAGCCTTTTATTGAGACATTCATATGATTTATGTGTTGCTGATTATATATATTTTTTTATATCATATATTTATTAAAGATTTACTGTATATTCAGTTGACTGAATGAATATATTCCTAGTGTTATATACTTTGCTCACAATTCTTCATTTAAAGAGCAAAATATCTCTCAGTTTAAGGAATGTCATCGAATGCTATAAATGTAATACATTTGCATAAAGAAATTCTTGTTGAAACTAATAGATTATTTGAAATCTCAATACAGGCTCTGTATGTTTGAAATTCTTGAACGACGATAAAGTTGTTGTCTTTGACGTCAATTAGAGAACTATTGTATCCCTGATAATAATTACAATTTTATAGATTTTTAAAAATATCTTAAACGAGAGTTGTCTTTGTAAAATGAAAATAACTTACAAATACTTCTGGAGGCAGAGAGAGAGAGAGAGAGAGAGAGTAGTAGTAGTAGTAGTAGATAGAAAGTAAAACTAGTGCCTTGTATTGTGTATTAAATTGCTATAAAAGATAGATAATGAACACGAATAACAACTGCATACCACTTGAAGACATTATTTTCTATCAAAATGGTCTCACGTATTGTAAGTCGAGACTTAAATAGTATTTCATCCCTTTTATAGCTTATTATATGTTTAATTAATATGTATTTTGTTATTTTGTGTCATATATTTTCTGACATATTATTCTTTCGTATTCTATATTTAAATAAGAATTAACACAAAACCTATTTTTATAAATCGATTGAGTGCTAAATCAAACGCTTAATTAAAATTACATTTGGGAATAGAGTGAACAACACTTCATGTCATTAACGATACGTTAATCACTTAAAACAAATAACTTTTGATAATTAATTATAATAAAATGATTTATAGTCTATTTATATCTACTAAACTTAACACTATTCGATAAAACATTTGCTTCTACGGTATATTTTTAGCAAGCTAAAATAAAAGTTGCATTTGAATTTAAATTCTTTTTTATACTGTACTTCACTATTGCATAAATGATAATGTGTGACACAAACTAACATTGTATCATGGTATGATAAACTAAAAATTTCCATACCTCAACGTACGGTAGTACAGTAATCATCTGCAATGAGCAGTGTCCATTTAACATTCTGTTGATGAATCCTGGGTTTTCAAAGCAATTTAAATAAACTTGTTGCACTAGCAAGTTATCCAGTACATTTACGGTTGTATATTATAATGCCATCATTTCATAGTTGAATTACTATTGAAATTTTAAAATGTATTTGAAATAGTCATACAAATGCCAACGAATTGAGAATTGAATACAAAAGAAGTGATTAATTAGCAAAACTATACGGTAATAGACTGTACTGTCAGTGAAATGAAAACTATTTATTGTATTGACTGAAGAAATACATGAAAGAAGTGATGGATCTGTGCATCAGTTGCCTGAAAGACAACTGAATCTCATATAATTGGTGACTGAGTGGTGGAAATGATTGACTCAATGGACTGATAACTGTCTGAAGGCGGCGGTAATTATCATTCAATCTGTGGATCAAACACAAGACATCGGACTCATTGATAGTGTCGTAAATCCAATGGCTATGACTTCTGTCGCCAATCAAATGGATGGGCTCTTTGGTGACCCAATGGCTGAGAATGCATTGAAAAGCGATTAAAATGTAGTAAATATTGTCAAAGTCTTCGACTCTCATGAAGTGAACGTCCGCTGAATACTGAGACAATTGTTTGACGACCGACTCAACCAAAGCGATGGTGTGTTTGTCGATCACTGAGTTCTTGAGCGCCGAAGACATAAACATCGCTCTCCTCTGGAGCCGATCGTATCGATTGAGACTATTGTCGGCAACTATTTCGGTGAGACATCTGCCGAAGAATAGGCACACCTTCTCTGTGACGGCCCTTCTCAGTGACAGTTGGTTGTGGTTTGCCATCAATGGACACACGAATTGCAGACAACTGTCCACAACTGACACATCGATCAATGGGTTCAGGCTTTCGCTGAACACGTAATCCATGGATTCGATGAACTCTTGAGTCCATTGTTGCCGAAGAGTTGTATTCAATTGATACTTGTTTTGCAACGATTGCAGTGATGTCTTCATTAGATTGCATTTCTCGAGATACAAATCAGTGATACTTTGGGTGATAATTGAACTCATTTTGAAATCTTCGGCAAAACAACTAATACTCAACACAAGTGTCCACTAAATCCATGCATTCATTCATTCATTGCGTTCACAAATACTGTGACTTAGGATTTACACATTAGTCACAATCGTGTCAATCATATGAATACAGAATCTGTTATTCTGTACACTGATAATCGCCATAACATTTAATCATATTTTATAAACCGGACACAATTTTCACTGTACATTTATTTTAGTAGCTATTTCTAGATTGTAAATGATATAATAAAATATATGATTTGTTTGCTTTAAATTGATTAATCTTTTAATTAAATGTTATGTCAATACAGTACACAAATACGACAGAATTGTGAATGAATTGTAAATACAATGAATTGAATTGAAT